AGAAGGACTGCACTCATTTGTGGAATATAGAAAGGCCCTCCCGTTGATCGTCGATTTGCTCGAGCGGGCCCAGTAACGTCTCCATTGGAGACTTTGTTGTTACTGTGTCTGGCATACCGAATACTCTCGGTAGCTTTCCGGGCTCTCCGAGAGGGGCGGAGGTATCGAACTCGGGTCGGCCATGTTGGCCGCTTGTAAGGCAAACGCCCTACCCGCTGTGCTATCGCTCCAGCCCTGTGGAATATAAAATATCATAATATGAGACTAACACCCAAGGACAGTAGAGACAATGACCAGGAAGATTACTCCACAGTTGAAAGCCTGCCTTATGAGCTTGGGGAGCAGGCAGCTGGAATAGAGAAGGGACCACTGAGTCAATGATGGTTGGAGGTATCTCTTCGGATAGGAGATGTGTCCTGAAAGTAGATAAAGGAACAAACATGATGCCCTCTCATTATCTGTATTTCAAACCATAATGCCCAAAAAGTAAAGAGAGAGTAAGAAGAAAATTGTCTGCCATAAGAGGCAGGGGGTGGGGAAAGGGGTTAGGGATATACTAGGGACATTGGTGGTGGAAAGTGTACACTGGTGTTCAATCATTATATGGCTGAAACTCAAACATGAAAGTTTTGTTATTGTAGCTCACAGTGGTTCAATTTTTTTTTTAAAAAGGCCCTTACTTAGAGCTAGCCAAGGCCAGAAGGCTGGAAATACCCTCCAAGAGAAGCTCCAGCAGGAACAAAGATCAAGAAAACAAGTTTCACACCCAAGAATAGTAGAGATAAGCACCAGGAGAATTGCTCCATGACTTGAAAGCCAGCATCACATGCTGGGGGGAAAGGCAGTTCAGATAGATAAGGGACTGCCAAGTAAAGGGTGCTTGGAGGGCCCGTTCGGAATGGGAGATGCATTCTGAAAATAGGCTATAGACCGAACACGATGGCCACGCAATACCTCTATTGCAGACCACAACACCCAAAATGAGAGAGAGAACAAAGAGGTATGCCGGGGTGGGGGGATGAGGTGGGGAGGCACACTGGGATCATTGGTGGTGGAGAATGGGCATTGGTGGAGGGATGGGTACCCGAGAATTGTATGACTGAAATGTAACCATCAAAGTTTGTAAGTCTGTAACTGACCTCACAGGGATCCATAGAAAGAAAGAAAGAAAGAAAGAAAGAAAGAAAGAAAGAAAGAAAGAAAGAAAGGAAAGAAGGAAGGAAGGAAGGAAGGAAGGAAGGAAGGAAGGAAGGAAGGAAGGGAGGGAGGGAGAAAGAAAGAGAGAAAGAAAGAGAGAAAGAAAGAGAGAAAGAAAGAGAGAAAGAGGGAAGGAAGGAAGGAAGGAAGGAAGGAAGGAAGGAAGGAAGGAAGGAAGGAAGGAAGGAAGGAGGGAAAGAAAGAAAGAAAGAAAGAAAGAAAGAAAGAAAGAAAGAAAGAAAGAGAGAAAGAAAAAGAGAGAATGAAAGAAAAAGAGAAAAAAACAGAGGATCAGGGTGATAGTTCAGAGGATAGGGCATTTTGCTTGAGGTTGATTCCCTGCATCCCTTATCATTTCCCAAACCTTACTAGGAGTGATCTTTGAGTGCAGAGCCAGGAGTAGGCTCTGAGTACCATCAAGTGTGGCTCAGAAACAAACAAACAAAAAAAAAATGACCTCATTCAAATCTTAAACACACTGCACAGACCAAACAACATACAGAGGTATGTTTTGAGCAAGATGTGACCTTGGACATAAACAGAGAATAAAAGAAAATACAAAAAGGTCTTTGGAATAGTTTAAACACTGAGTGTGGACTTTTTCAGGAGAAAAACAAGTCACTGGAACAAGACTGTTCAAGGGATGATAGGAGGTGTCTTACATGCACAAGATCCCAAGTTTGAACCTGGTACTTCATGGTCCCTCAAACACCACCAGCACCACTGGGCTGAGCAGCACCACAGCCAGGCTGAGCTTACACCACTGGGCTAAGCTCCACAGCGTGGACTCCTAAGGTCCAGCACTGCTAGGGAACCTCCCCCCATCCCAGAGAAAAAATATTCTATCCGGAAGAAAAAAATACTGGCATGAACCAGTGTCCACCACTAAACAGTGTCCACACCAAGGGACCTACTAGATGCTCCCCATAAACCAATGTCTGAAGACTTCTGGTCCCATTTCCAAATGAGGCACAGTCATTCTGTCATTGGCTGTGATGTGTGCAAAACTGTACTTCAGATTCAAAACTGAGTCCACCAGGTGTTTAACTAGCATCCTAAGGTGGGGACACTTTGATCCTTGATAGGGACGTAAAGGGGGTTGCTGCCATATTTCCTTATCCCTGAACTCTCCTCACTCATTACTACCTCCCTGTCATTGCTCAAAGTTTCTGCTCTTCCATATCCCCAGATTCTCACCTGATGACTACTTAAGCCCCCAAGAATCTCCCCCAACTCACCTAAATCCCAACCTATCAAATCCCATTCTCAGTGCTCCCTTTTGGCTCAATCTTATCACCATTTCCCACTTCTAATTCCCTGGACTCTAAGCTAATTAATTCTGGGATTGGTACAAAAGAAAGTGAAATTCACCCCATAGGTTAGCCTATTCCTACTTGAGACAACAGCATGACCAGAATTATGGTCACCCTTTGTCATCCATCCTGCCTTTGCATCCCTCTCCATCCTCTACCCAGTTGTCTCTAAGCAATCCCATTTCCAGGTCAACCCCAGAGGCCACAAGCCACACAGGGAATGAGCAGGACCCTCAGGGAGAAAATGACTTCGGAGCAAATGACTTGGGAAAGTCATTTCCTGAAAATACATTCCAAATACCTGCCCAGACCAGCCTAACACACAAGTTCAACTTGGTCAAAGGCACCCAGGACAGGCATGGTAAACCTTCACAACAGTGCTCAAAGGCAGACTGCAGCAAAGAATGTCTATCACCACCCTGCAATTTAGCGCTGGCAAGAGCACTACCTGGACCACCTACAGAAGGGCCCCCACAACAAACCTCAGCAACGCCTCACTACAGACATGGGCGTTTTCAGGATGAATGCTTTTGCTTCTCACTGAGAGGACATGCTGATGTTAACACGGTTCCCTCATGCTGCCCCTTTTCTGACAGAGAACTCAGGGAAGCCTCTGCAGTGCCATCAAACTAGGAAAGGGGTGAAGAGATCAACACATATACTGGGAAAAGGGTAAAGTTTCCTATATCTTTAGAGTAATCCTTGTCCTAAATGGAAGGCAATGAGTTTCAAAAGTAGCTTCCTAGAGGTTATATTGCAGATCAATATAAAGTGTACAGCTCCATATACACATATGAAAACCAAGATCACAATCGAGAGTACATCTAGACACTACACCCCAATTTTCCTTGTGACTATTTGTATTATTCCCTTCCCATCCATTCCTCTTGGTAACTACTAATCTATTTTCTTTAACAAGTATTTGCAATTTTCTAGTATAACTGAATAAATAGAACTCTACATAAATAGAATATATGATATGTACATGGTTGTCTCTGATTTCCTACACAAGGAATTAGTCACTCATTTGTATTATAACATGAACATCAATAATTCATTCTTTTTATTGTTGAGTAGTATCCTAGGGTACAACATAATTCAATTTGTCCATTCACCTATTGGTGGGACTTTTGCTTATTTATAATTTGGAATGATCACAAATAGAGTTGCCTGGAGTTTAATGAACAAAGTTTTGTGCTTTGTACATATACTTTCATTCTTCCTGGGAAAATATCTACAGAATTCAATAGCTGGGTCATTTGTTAGACATGTTTGAGTAATGCCACATTCATGAGATATTTTTTTTCTTAGTCTCAGAGTGTTCACCCAGTGCACACATAATGACAAGGTAAAGGTATACACTGATCACATGGATATTAATGGCCCCCACACTCACCCAAAAGGAGGTCACATCAGGACTCAGTCAGCTTCATTTCTTGTCTGCCAGTATGGACGATTTCCCAGGAAGAAAACTTCCCAGGATGAGCTCTGAATTTTGAAAAATGTTTACTGAAAAAGCTCCTGCATTTCAGACAGTCCACAATAGGGCTATGCAATCGGTCTCTGAAAGATTGTTTTTAAAGGGTAATTCTGATTGGTCTAGGGGAAATATAGTTCAGATCAGTATCAAGAATTATTGCATGAACTAGAACAAGGTTCTCCAAGGGTGGACTCCTCAGCATCCCTAGAAACTTATTAGAAATGCTCATTCTGCTAGTTCAGAACTATAGAGTTAAAACACTGTCTGGGGCCCAATACCTATACTTTCATCAGGTTGATATAATCAGTTGCATACACTTTAAGAACTAGTAGCCTAAAGGCCAGAGAAATAGTACAGCAGGATGGGCACTTGCCTTGAGCACAGTTTGACAGGAGTAAGCCCTAAACACTGCTGGGAATAGACAAAAACAGGGGAAAAAAGAAAAAATAAAAGAGAAAACAAAGAACAAACGTCCTAGGACATTGTTAAGGCCTTTCAACATCAAGCAAGTAAATCAGAAATCATGCTAATCAACTAAAATCCCAATTCCACCCACACAGCTTTTGAAGGTATTGTTAGAATTCTTCAAATCTTGTTAAATTCTTGGTGAATAACCAAATTATCAGCTGGAGTACAAGCTTGTGCAATAATGATTTTTCACTTCTTTTCCCAAAGCACCAAATTAAAAATAATTTTTTCAGAAGTCCAATCATTTAAAGTATCTGAATTCAGCAGTCAACACCTTTTCTCTACATGTGGCTTTCATGCTCACAAATTAGGCAAAACTGAATCTAAGAAAAGGACAAAGATTTGAGGTGATACCTTCCATCATTCTTTACTGCTCTAGAACCCTCTATTTATCAGCAGAAAAAATAATCGAACTGGAATAGGAAAAATTTGAGTAAAAAATTATTGGATAGATTTTGCTTTATCTTCCATTTATGCATGGTTTCTACTCAACACTATAATTAGAGAGAAGTTTTGATTACTTCCTTGGTATCTTTTTATGCTTAAAATTTAGCTCCGTCTATAAAAACCCTTTCCAATTTCTGGCCAAGCAGAACTTTGACACTCACTTTGACTTGCAAGGAATGGTTCTGAGGATTCATTTTGCCCAAAACTATCTCCTTTAACACAGATTTTGGAAAGCTGAAGAGAGTGTCTTCAGGAAGTCAGGAAGTCTGGCAGATCCTAGATACATGTCCCAGAACCCATTATTCAAATCAATGGTCCACTGCAACATGATCTTCCCATCTTTGATGATGTCCATTTGAAAAATGGCATTGACTTTCTTTACCACTTGGGCCCCAACCTCTATAATGCTAATATCCTTGAAGACCTGGAAACTCCAGAATTCTTACAGCTCTAGGGGATGTGGCATGGCAGGTTCCTGGGTTGACTCTAACTCCTTGAACTTGCCGTCTGGAAGTCTATCCCTTGCTTTGATATTGAGTTGGTGGTCAGTTCTCTTCTTCATCTTTCTGCACTGGTCTACTTGACCTTTCCATCTGGTTTCTGAGCAAGAGTGGTCACATTACTGTCTGTAAGTCAAATTGTGACATCAAAGCTAAGACCCAGTCTTATTGGCCAAGCAAATGCTAAAATATGACAGGGGATGGGGAGTCAAACAAGTTATTGTGATGCATATCTAACCCATCACCATCCCAAACCAATCAGGGCTTTTGGTTTCAAAAGCAAAAAGAAAATTATATAAATCTCCTCAAACTGGACCCCATGTTGGGAATAAGGGAAATTGGTCCCAGATTGTTCTTTGCTGCTATGAGTTTTGTGGACTTCTGTCTTTCCAACCCTCCAGAAGCAATCTTGAAGAAAAGTTATTTTTATGCCTTCAAAACTGAGTAAACATTTAAGTTGTGATATTTGACTTATCTAGATGCTGCTAGTAAAAGGGGGGAACCCAGGTGTGTGGGACCCGGGGCGTAGATCTCCAAGCCTGCTCGGATTGGGACTGGGCCTCCTCTACCCAGATCCCCCACACACATCTTCCAGTATGTAGGATTTACACCCACCAAATGCCCCAGTGCTGTGTAATCCCATCAACAGCGAAGACCCAGAGACTATAAAACCCAGTTCCCAGAAGTGTGCGGCCACATTTGTGGCTGCGCAACATCTTGTTGTCTAGTTCTCACTCCGGAGAATCTGGCAGGCTACCAAAAGTATCCTGCCTACACGGCAGAATCTGGCAAACTCCCCATGGCGTGTTCAATATGCCAAAAACCAGTAACAATGATGGGTCTCATTCTCCTGACCCTGAAAGAGCCTCGAATGTGGCACTTTCTAAAATCTCAGGGCTAGGACGAAGGAGACATTACTGGTGCCTGCTCAAGGCAATCGATGAACAACAGGATGACAGTGATACAGTTATTATTATTATTATTTGTTTTCTTGCCTAAATTTTTCCTGATTTGGCTCGTGGGGACACAATATGAATCCCAGTATTAATGGCCAACACACATGCAGAAGAGATCTTATTACCTTTAGTCATTAGAAACCTGCATTCCATATCCATCTAGTTACTAATAAGCTAAGAATATTTTGCCCAATGAAAAGGAATCTCTCAAAATCTAAGGTTTTTGTAGTTAGTACACTTTCAATTCTAGTGCTTGTCTTTTCAAAATTTTGTGGGCAAAGATTAAATTGATCTTCTAGTATGTTTTTCTTAAAAAATTAAAATCGGGTCTAAGAATGTTTTTCAGTAGTAAAGCACTGCGTGGCAAGCATGAAGTCACAAAACCTTATTTATAGTCCCACAATACCATTGTGGTACCAGCAGCACTGCCATTGTGGCACCTAGCGGCACAAGTGTGAAATCTGTAGTGCACTGCAGAGCACTATGACCAAGTTTGTGACCTCTGTACATCATAACAGTGAAAAGAAAGGAAGTCAAGAGGATCAATTTAAAAATTGTAACTGCATAAGATAAAATAATGAGTTATTACTTATCCCAACTTTAGTTGCCACTAATATAGCTAATATTTGAAAGACAGATAGTATCAACTGTTCGCAAAGATACTGAGTGGCTAGAACTCTTGTGCACCACTGGTATGAGGGCAAAATTATGCTGCTACTGTGAGAGGCTGCTAGGAAGTATCATACAAAGCCAAGCATGTTTATCTTACAACCATTCAGTCACAGTCCTAGGTATTTATACAAGATAAATGAAGACATATATATCTACAGAAAGATGTATAATGAATGCCATTTGCAACATTGTGCATTAAAGCAAAAACACTAGAGACAATACAAATCCTTTCTATGTTCTTAATCTTCTGTTCATGAAGAGAAGGCTGAATTAACAAATTGTATGATCATAGAATGGAATACTACATGGCAACAAAAAAGGAATATGCATAAAACTTGTGCATTTTGCGAAAAGATGCCATATTCAAAGGCAATGATACTATATGCTATTATATCCTATGCTACTATATAAAACCAAGAAACTATCATTCATCCATATACATTCTAAAATGTCAAAACTGTGAAACAAAAATGACACTGGTTTGTAGGGTGAAAAGTGAACTTGTTTACAAGGATAAAAGATAAGTTACGTTTGGGGGGTTCAATCACAAATAGCATGTGTGAGGTCAGGAGAGCAAAGAGAAGGGTAAGCAATGTCTGTAGAGTACCCAGGAGCAAGTCTCCAAACCATGAACCAATCCTAAATTATGGTAGAAAAGTTCCACAAGATTTTTATGGCTGGGGGCTGGAGTGATGGTACAGCGGGTAGGGCATTTGCCTTGCACGCAGCAGACCCGGGTTCGATTTCCAGCATCCCATATGGTCCCCCAAGCATCGCCAGGAGTAATTCCTGAGTGCAGAGCCAGGAGTGACCCCTGTGCATCGCCGGGTGTGACCCAAAAAGTAAAAAAAAAAAAAAGATTTTTATGGCTCCCTGCAAAGATATCTCTCTTTGTTTCAGTCAGGAATAACAAACAAGGTCAATTTTCAAACCATTTAGCAAATGATAGCTCATTTATGTCCTCCATCGTCATGACAGTTTTATAGCTACCATGGAAACCTATGAAAACGGTCAAATATGGTCAGAATCTCAGATCCCAGGTACACACACCCATTTTTGGAGAGTGGGGCAGAATAGGAAGACAGTCTCAAACTATAAACGGAGACAAAACAAAGACTGGCAGCATTCTGACTGCAGAGCTCCACCCCCTGAGCTCAAGGGGAATATCTTTTGGCTTTCTCTTTTCTTAAATAAACACTTGATTTATCCTCAGTTGGGTGCTTTCTCATTTGCCTTCTATAATACTTATTTTAAATATTTTTGTGCTTACTCCCTAAGATTTCCTTATAGGGAGACACCAGAATCAGGAACCAGAGGGCTGTGTGCACTAATGCTCCCCACTCCCCCACCACCTCATGACTCCTCATGCTTTATCAGAGGGATAACAAAAATTCCTTGATTCCACTGGTGGAAATACTCCTGTATATATTTGTCAAAAGTTATGTAATCAAAAGAATAACTTTTTCTAATTTTTTTATTAAAAAACTGTGATTTATGAAGTTTTTAACAGTTCGGGAATTTTTATTCTCTTGTTTTTTTCTTGGTGGGGGGACATGTTGAGCTACACCCTGCCATACTCAGGGCTTACTCCTGGATCTGCACTCAGGGATCACTCCTGGCAGGCTCTGGGGTGGGGAGCCGGGGTATCAAATCCTGCCAGACAAATGTAAGGCAAGTGCCCTACTAAACGTACTATTGCTCTGGCTCAAGAGTTTTAATCATATATTTCAACACCAATCCTGTCACCAATGTCAGCTTTCCTCCACCTGTGTTTCCATATTCCCTCCCCACCTCAAACCCCTGCCTCATCCCTGCCTAATAACCTAATAGGTGCATTACAAAGTTCCACTGGTTGCAGCTTAGATCTCATGTTTTCAGTGTTGTTGAATATGTGTTTTGGATATATGGCTATACCACGCACCTATATTATCAATATAATTGAAGCCCTGACACCTGACACCCACTACTTCCCATTCTCTTCTTCCCTTCTTGATATCATTCCTTTTCTGTCTTCTCCTCTCTAAACACTGGGATCAAGACTGATCTAGACATCACCACAATACCCTTTGACTACATTTCCTCATCCAGTATTCTATGTGCCACAGATAAGCGAGATCATCCTGTGTTTTTCTTCTTCTGGCTTACTTCACTCAACATGATACCTTCCAGTTCCAACCAGATTACAGAAAATTGCATAAATATTTCATTGTTCTTTGTGGATGCATAGTATTGCTTTGTGTATATATACTACGGGCTGGAGCAATAGCACAGCAGGTAGTGTGTTTGCCTTGCACGCAACCAACCCGGGTTCAATTCCTCCCTTCATGCCTCTCAGAGAGGGAAAAGCTACCAAGAGTATCCCACCCGCATAGCAGAGCCTGGCAAGCTCCCCATGGCATATTCGATATGCCAAAAAAAGTAACAAGTCTCACAATGGAGACGTTACTGGTGCCTGCTTGGGCAAATAGATGAACAATGGGAGGACAGTGCTACAGTGCTACATATACAGTACATCTTCATGGTTATGAGGTACCTAGGTTGATTCCATATATTAGCTGTTGTACTAAGTGAAAAAAATGAATAAATGGAAAGAAAGATGGCAGCCGCACGGGAGCCTTGTGGAAAGCGGGTTTGAGCCGGGCTCGGGGGAGCGGCGGGGACCTCATGGGAAGGGGGGCTTTGTGGGCCGTCCCCCACGCCCCACCAAGGTCGCCAGCTGCCCCCCACGAGCGGCTCTCCGGCACGGCCACGGCCCCGGAGGCACAAGGACTTAGCACAGAGAACCAGCCGCTTGGAGCAGAAAAGCAAATGGACTTGTGTTGATCCGCGCCACCAAGCCTGCCCGGAGGGGGAAGGGCGTTGACCAGCCCGCCCGCTCCTCTCTGGAAAGAAAGATGGCAGCCGCACGGGAGCCTTGTGGAAAGCGTGTTTGAGCCGGGCTCGGGGGAGCGGCGGGGACCTCATGGGAAGGGGGGCTTTGTGGGCCGTCCCCCACGCCCCACCAAGGTCGCCAGCTGCCCCCCACGAGCGGCTCTCCGGCACGGCCACGGCCCCGGAGGCACAAGGACTTAGCACAGAGAACCAGCCGCTTGGAGCAGAAAAGCAAATGGACTTGTGTTGATCCACGCCACCAAGCCTGCCCGGAGGGGGAAGGGCGTTGACCAGCCCGCCCGCTCCTCTCTGGAAAGAAAGATGGCGGCCGCACGGGAGCCTTGTGGAAAGCGGGTTTGAGCCGGGCTCGGGGGAGCGGCGGGGACCTCATGGGAAGGGGGGCTTTGTGGGCCGTCCCCCACGCCCCACCAAGGTCGCCAGCTGCCCCCCACGAGCGGCTCTCCGGCACGGCCACGGCCCCGGAGGCACAAGGACTTAGCACAGAGAACCAGCCGCTTGGAGCAGAAAAGCAAATGGACTTGTGTTGATCCGCGCCACCAAGC